GGAGAGCCGTTGAAGTCATCCAAAAGAACAATTGAATTTGTCTAATAGTTGAAGTCATTCATGAGAGCAATTGAATTCTCTTCCAAAAACTGAACTTGTTCAAAAGAACAGTTGAATACGTTCAGGAACTGAATTTTTCTAAGAAAATAGTTTTGATAGAACAACTCTCTTAAACAACTAACTCATCCCATTGCCAAGCTGACAGACATAAACTTCCCCAGATGTTGAACAACAGTGATGATCAATTATGAGAAACAATTAGTAAAACAGGATAATATTAATTATATGCCACATGTCAAAGATCCATAAGAATTCATGTATAATAAATATGTTATTTCAAATGCTATGAACTCACAATCTCTAAAAGAACTATGCAATTTATTTCAACTAAAACTTATCAATGATTTTTTCGAGCAAACTCAAAATTTGCTCGAAAATTAATTTCATTGGAAATCTACTCAACTGAATTTCAAGTCTATTTCAAGTTTCATTCTAGACTTAAAATATCTTGACTTGCATGAATCGAGCGCGTTGACTCTAATAAGACTTAAAATAAATATCTACAGAAAATTCATACAATATATGTTATAATATTTATATTTCTATATATAATTAATCAAAATCGATTTTACTCAAATTGCTTTCAACTTCAAGTTGTGTTCGAGTCAATTTGGAATCAAATCAAGATTTCAATTTCTAATTGATTTGAACTCATGAACTTGACTTGATATTAGCCTTAGGTTAATATGCTTATTCTTTTAAGGTAACTAGGTATCAACTCTAAACTTAATAATAGAATGTCAGTCCCTATTTCATCTGTAAACATTCCTCCCACCTCACTACATGTGTATGAAATGATCTTTAACTATCTTGAGTAGGTGAAAACCTCCATTGGACTAAGCAAAAGATGATTCCTCCCTTAGAAGGGCTATAAATTTAGCTCAAAGAAAAAAATCGCTTGAAAATAGAATTGGTTTTTTGCTCGAACCAAGCCAACAAATGATCCATGCCAAATTTAGATTAAACTTCGCTTGAACCTATTTCATTTATAACAGAGCTAACTTGAGAACAAATTATATATTAAAACTATGTATTTATATATAAAAATATGTATGAATGTTTGTATTATTTTGGATAAAAAATTTATACTGGAAAACATGAAACCAACCCCTCAAATCCTTTATAAAGGGTAGTCCTTTTTACACATCCTTTAGGTGCCCATTCGCATTAGGAATGACCTCTCAAACCACAAACCACGCATCAAGAGTCAATTCCATCCTTTACAAATGGTAGCCTCCTCGACACACAACAGTTAGGGTGTTCAATCTCCTATAGCCAACCAAAAACCCTTGAGTACACATCCTTTGACTAAGGAAATTTTTTTTTGCAAACAAAATGCCTAGAAGTGACAATAAACCACCAATTCCCTTGCAATTTCTAAGAACTCCAAATCTCAACAAATGGATCCACAAAGGTGCATTCCAATCAAAGTTATAGCCAAAGACTAGGAGAAAATATTGCATACTAATAAAATATGTACTAACAAGGGTGGATAGAGTGGTCACTGTTGGCACCATTTTTGGATGTCAAGCCAATGGGCTAGGTCCCATGGTTTTTCCCTTTTCAAAGTTTCCATATAAAATTATCGTGTCTCATTCTACCACTTTTCTTTTGTATGTGTGTGTTATGAATCCTATCTTACTCTAAGACGTTACTTCATTACCCTACCTTCATAGATCTTTTGACCCGCATCAGTCGATCCTTTTCTTCAAGAGATTATTTTTAGGTTTTATAGTTGGTAATCACTCATATTATAAATATGATGTTGTTGTAAATTTATCCATTATCAAGACTTTGTACGTTGTTTCCAAAAAAAAAAAAAGTAATCCGCTTCGAGTTATTTAAAGCCATACGAGTCGGGACTTCGTGTGCCGATAAAAATCTAATGAAATTTATCTTCATAATTTATGAGAAAGTTTGTTCCCATGAGCTAAATTCGTCCAACAACTGAACTTACAAATGGTAGCCTCCTTGACACACAACAGTTAGGGGGTTCAATCTCCTATAGCCAACCAAAAAACCTTGAGTACACATCTTTTGACTAAGGAAATTTTTTTTAGCAAACAAAATGCCTAGAAGTGACAATAAACCACCAATTCCCTTGCAATTTCTAAGAACTCCAAATCTCAACAAATGGATCCACAAAGGTGCATTCCAATCAAAGTTATAGCCAAAGACTAGGAGAAAATATTGCATACTAATAAAATATGTACTAACAAGGGTGGATAGAGTGGTCACTGTTGGCACCATTTTTGGATGTCAAGCCAATGGGATAATATTCCACTCTCCCAAATTTCTCCATGCCTCATGAACGTCTAGAAAAATGCCCCGCAGCGCAACGCATTTAATCATGCACATTTTTACCCTGGTGCACCCACGCTAAGTCCCCGGCATGCCCGCGCCTTCGCTAAGCCCGGCGCACCAGCGCTCACGTCTTCGTGCGCCCGCATCTTCCTTAGGGCAGACGCGCTCGTGTCGGATCTGCGCTACACCTGTGTTGGCAAGCTGAAAGGATGGCGTGCTCTCGGAAACTTTAGGCGTGCCTCCGCCCTCCCCTACGATCTGGCATTTCCGCTCCGAACCAGCGTTGGGTACGTGGCGGCAAATAGAGAAGATGGCACGCCTGCGAGACTTCCAAGCTCGTCTGTGCCCTCCTATGGTCTGGGACATCCATGCCGGACCTACGTTGGGTCCACGCTAGGAACATGAGAATGTGGCGCCCTCGCGACGGACTCGGGGCGCGTCCACACCCGTCTGGATGGGGCGGGCGCACCCTCACCGTGTTCTGGGGCTCCCGCACCAGGCCACGATCTGCTTTTGAACTTTTGAATGCCTGGGGAACTCTTCCAAGCTAGCCACATGTCCAAGCCAACCCTTGCATGTCCAGGGACCTTGCCAAGTGCCCCCCTTCCCTTGGGGAAAAGTCTTATTTGACCTTGAGGCCAAATAAAAGGGCTGAAATTCATTTCAGCTCCTTCTTCTTCTTGATTTTAATGCAGGTCCAGCTATTTTTTTTGGCTTTGCTATATACTTTTTAAAGTCTCTTAGACTCGAATTTTTATTAGAAATAAAGTACGGGCATGAGTTCTGAGATGTCTGATGGGCGGAATCATGTGACGAGGATAATGAGCTGAAGGCTCGTGTCTCGTACTTAATTCTAAATCTTATTTGATGTATACATTAGGACAAGGAATATATATGCGATGTCTGACCACCTTTTATTTTCTTGGGATACGTTGTTGACCTAGCGACACCCGATATTTTATTATTTATATTTGACTTGTTTATTATTGTGTAGCTTGCTTGACATTTCCTCTTTTTTTGCTTGTAGATTGTCTGAGAATCGTCTGCAAATGAAAATTAGTCTCTATAAGGACCTAAATTTATACATGTTCAACAAAATCCTAATAAAAGCTTAAGATTAATTAAAATTTAGGATTAAAACATTATAAAAATTTCAAAAAATTGTTTCAACTCTTTTGCATGGCCTTCGAGTCCGATTTAAAACGGTTTCGCATTGCATGACTATCATCCAAGTCATACTAATAGGGCTTCCACATTATATTTGTATAGATAATTGTATCAAAATTGCTTATCCTAAGGATAAGTCTCTGTGTATCTTCAACCTGTTTGGCCAAGCATAAGATTTCAACTTAGGTGATTACTTAGCACGCTTAGAGTGTTAGAGGCTTTCCTGACCCTGACGAGGAATAATTCATTTGTGATAGTGTCCCAGCTTTGTAGTCGTACCACTCATTTATTTCCACTCGAACGGCTTCCTTGCTACTTTGACAGGTATAAGTCTCGTCCCTACATACAAAGGGTCATAGGACTTAGAGTTTCCTTCTTTGAACTTATGGCTACTGAGGTTCTCTTGGACAATTTAATTCAATGATTGCTAACAAGAAACCTCTGTTTGTTTTTTGCAGACTATCTTCACGACCAGGTAGACTTGGGGTCTTAATAGCTTGGGAAGATGGATTCGTTATATCATAACCCGATTAGGATTACTCTACCTTCCTTTGCATACTCCTTTTGATCTTTGTCGTTCCTTTTGACACTTGACACTACGTCGATGTCATCTTGTAGGCCCTGATTGCGGATAGGTCGCGCCCATTTAGGATACGGTGGTTAACCATTTGCCCTTATGGCTCAGTTAGGCTTGAAAGCATATTATGGACCCAACGATAGCCTGGTTATTTACGTTAATGAGGTGATCTAGTTATTTCATAGGTCTCAACTGCTGATGAGCCACCATCCGTATGGGATCGTGAGAGACTCGTTCTCTACCTGTATGGCACGGCGTAGGCTTTAAAGGCATCAGAATGCTCTTGTAAGATAACTATCCTTTGTGGCACCCCTTACTAATCATCACGTAAATGTAAGCAGGACTCCTTTAATCCGTATGTAACACCCCTTAATTAACTAAACTGGATATGTCCATTTAGGAGTGCTCTTGAGCCTAGAACAAAAAGACAAATTTGGTTCTCTGATTATGGGTAGCTTATCTAGGTATTCTTTCGTGAATTTCACTTCAAGGAGACTCAATCTGATCTTCTTTGGACATACACTCTTTGATCTATCGCACGAGATTTACTGCACATAAACTCTTCATAATTCATTTAAAATTTGTCTGCCTAGTTTTCATTTTATTTCTCACTTTTTCGATCCCTCCTCTCACTAAATCGTTCTGACGGTTCAAGAGGGCTCTTTGAAAAAATGAACTTTAAAATGATGAATAGACGGGCTAACGACTCCAAAATTAAAAAGAACCAAAAACAACAGCGTCATAGATGAGAGAAATTATGGTGACGTAATCACTCCATTCACTCTTATAAGTACATACTTGCAAATGCAATATTTCCTTCAAGACCATGCTTTCAAAAAGAGGTGAACCAATGCCGAATAACTTCAAACATCTCATGATTTCCTTTTCTTGAATTTCATACAAGCGCATCCTCTGAACAAACTACAAAACTCAAAAATATTGGGAAGAAACTAAACCAATGTAAAACTTATAAACAACTACTAAAGAAGAGAGAAAGAATAAGACTCAATAATTACACTCCGAAGAAGAAAAATAAGATAAAAAATCCCATTCTACAAGATTAAGACTAGCCTTTGTCCACTGGGGTGAAATACCCTCACTGGAAGATTTCCTTCTACTACTGCTGCTGGAGGTGCTTAAACTGTCACAGCTGTCCATGGATTTGTTCTTGAGTATATGAGGTCTCAGTTTTTTCATATCTGATAACTGTACTGGCTTCAGGAGAAACTCATCTGCTCCTTCTTCCAGGCACCTGCAGAAGAAAATTAATCCATTGAGGACAATAAATTTCAACATCTAATAACAGGACCAGAGATCTCTTCAACTGTGTGATTTTAATCAAAAAAATATGACTCCTGAATGCTGTTTTTAGATTGACAAGTTTTGAGTATTTTTTTCCCAAATGATCAAAATTTTCTTCAACTACTACTCGAGCAAGCAAGAGTTAATGATCCTGGAGAATAGGTAATCAGTGACAATGGAATTTAAATTTGGTATTTAAAAAAAAAAACATAAAACACCCTTGGTTTGAATGAGAATGGAATGTTCATCACAAAAATGCATATTTGCATTTTGGTTCAAATCTGAAATTCAGTAAAACTAAGCATTGTGCAAGCTCAAAGAAAAAATCAAGAGAAAGGAAATGGAAGACTTTCTGTTTGGTAGGAAAGATGGCGTTAATCCTAAGTATTCAAAATAAAAAATTTCCAAATTTTGTAAGGTGGGGAGTCAGATTCTCAAGAACAGATTATGATGCTGTTTAATATCATATTTCAAGCAGAATTTACGCAATATTTAGCTTAAATCC